GTGCATGCTTATTTGTTACAATAGCAACATTCCAATCATAGAATTATATAATGGTGAGATATTAACACAATAATTGTAGACATTGTCCTTGTACCAGTCTATAGGAATGATTTGAAGCTTATATTGTCATTGTGGCCAGGTAATGCGGTGGTATTTTAAGTTGGCATATATTGTGTACAAAGCTATGTATTTTAAGCATGAGGTATGAAAGTTGTGTTTAAGACCTAGGTGGCGACTAATCGATGTAGTTAAAGTCCCATTTTTAGTTGGTGATATGTGATCATATATCCTGCTACTAAATTGTTGTTTGTTTTTACCTACATAGAAGGCCCCACATATTCAAAACATCAGGTGCACTATCCCTATGGTGTCACAACTTACTATATGTGTAGGCTTAAACACAGAGCCATTAGGTAACATAGTCTCTCTGGTCTTGGCTATCCCTACGCAATGTGTGCAGCTACCATATCTAAATGTACCTTCCTTGTGTTGCTGGTTACTTATCAGGTCATCCCTGAAGTGACTTTGTACAATTTTAATGCAAGTGGATGTCATCTGTTTAAAGACAATCTCCAGAGAGGTTTTTTTTTGTATTCTTTATTTATAAACAAAAGGGTGGGGTACAGAGTGCAAACAAAAAATATAGGGGCCACATGGCCTCACACCATTCAGTCAACATACCTGACATCAAGTGATAGAGCGAGAAAAGTGAGACAAGCCCAGTCAGTGCTCTAACCTCACGATAACCTCACGATGTACAAATGTCCGCATTAGGTTAGATCGGTCTCTCTTCCCCCCATCCCTTAAGGCATTTTGTAGTTATAAAACCAGAAAGGAAACATCACAACAAGGTAGACCACATGGCTCAGCCCAACAACAGGAGCAGCCAATGCCATGCCGCCCATGAAGGGAACAGACAAAACATACAACATAAAACAAGGCAACAAAGAGGGAAACAATACCACACAGAACAAAGGGAAAGACAGAAAGAGACCCCCGGTCTCCGTCAGTTCCAGGATGTCCAGCATGGAGTGCTCGTAGCAACACCAATGCAAGATAATGGGGCCCTCATTGTAAGCCGCCTCATCACCCCTGATTCATTCCTGAGACACACTAGAGAATTCAGCTGAGTCTCTGAACTGGAACCAAGCTCCCCACATGGCCTCCAGAGAGTTTTTAACGTGGTTGACAATTATGGGATCTTCAGATAGTAAGCACCAGTGTTTGTATAGGGCCCTATGTATTAGTTTGCATTGGTTGGAATATCGCGAGATTACTCTTGTGGTGTCCTCGTGTTTTTCAGTTATTTTCCCATAAAGAAGATCCGACCTGATTTTGTTCCTCACATTTTTGTATGCCTTTTTTAGAATGTTCTTATGGTATCCTGATAACAACAGCCTTCCGCTTAAAAGAGAGGCCTCCTGCATAATTTCATCTTCTCCTGAACAACTCTCCTGGGACTCTACACAGCCCACCTGTGAGCCTGGAGACATCACGCTGCCATCATAGAGCAACACAGAGTATGAAGCTTCATATTATTCTTCATGTCTGTATAATAATGTACTTGTCTTCATATATCATCTGTGAATTGATTTAATTAACCTAAGGGGAAGTAGTGGATTAAGCACTAGTGCTCAGTACCATACTTCACCACCGGGTGTCTACCTCACTGTTAACCCTCTCACCCCCAGTAACTACAACTTTAGATACCACGGTTCTGAATGATGTGACATGTCTCACACACTGCTCTAATTTCATGAGAGAGTAAAAGCCGAGACCCCTTACTGAACAGACCGTGAGGTACACACTCCGCAGTTGAGATCCTAGGCTTGCATTGCAGAGATGTTACAAATAGCTGGGATTTCTAGTCCGCTATAGCTGCTGGTATTTTGCATTGCTGTATAATGTATTGCTGTGATTTGTACTTCTTTGTAGCTGGTGGTATTCTGCTTTGCTGTATAATGCATTCCTCAGATTTTTAGTCCCTCTACAGCTTGGAGTCAGTGGCAGAACTACCAGGGTAGCAGCATTTGTAGTTGGGACATGGCCTTGGTGCTCCATCACTGTCCTAAAATCATTAGTCTGTATTGTTTCAGAAAAACTGTCACATGACACACAAAAAAGGAACTTAGTAATTGGTTTTGGGGAGTACTCAAGGAAAAGAATCGGTTCTCATACTCGGTCCTGAAAAAAATGGTATCAGTACATCCTTACTAGAGACACAAACAGATCCTCTAAACCAGGGGTGCCCACAATTTTTTATCTGGAGATCTACTTTTCAAATGACGAGCTCAATGAGATCTACCAACGAAAAAACACCTACATTCAGGGGTGGGAGGGGGCGTGGGGTTGTATTGAAGTCAATGGCACTGCAGCCATGCCCCCCACCCGCATTGTGATCGCCCACAAATGCTACAAGCACTAAGGGTGAGGGCGATCACACTGCAGGTGGGGGGCATGGCTGCAGTGCCATTTACTTCAATGCAACCCCACGCCAGGTGGGAGCCAACCGGCTTGTGTTCCAGTGCGTTCTAGAGGCCAAACACTCTGGAACACAGACTTTCTGGTGTGAACCGGCCCTCTCTCTTGGCTCTCTTCTCTCTCTCCTCGCACTCTCCCATTTCTATCTGCTGTCTCTTCTCTCTCTCTCTCTACTGTTTCTTCTCTCACTTTCTCTGCTGTCTCTCTCCTCTCTCTCTGCTGTCTCTCTCCTCTCACTTTCTCTGCTGTCTCTCCCCTGTCTATCTTTTCTTACCTCCACTGCAGCAGCTTTCCAGGTCTCTCTCCGGCGGTGCTCATGTGGCCGATGTTACATACAGGGAAGGTGTCCCGCCCCTTCCCATCTGCGGCGTCTGACACATTCAGCCAGCAGCCGCACGAGCACCACGGGAGGACAGGACACAGCCGATCGCTATCTACCAGCATTCGCTTTGCGATCTACCTAATGGGTACCCCTGCTCTAAACAAAGGAAATGTAAATGTGAAATGCCGTCATGACCAAAGGATGCAAGTTGCATTTCCAAACTCTAAACTCAATATGTAAAGCTGTGTTCCCTTAGTTTTATTTTATAATCTGCCATAATTTACACAGCTCTGCTACATTATCAAATTATATTCGGATTTCTGGATAAAGGGAAACTACATCATCATTGTAAGTATTAAAAACAGTAAATTCGCAAAACACTGGAAGGTGGGGTAAAAATCTTGCTTGCAGGTGATAAAGTTTATATCTCCACGGATTATGTATTTTTTTTACCATTATTGGCTTTTAGGAAAAACAAAGTGATTGTGACCTTCTATACAGAACATGAATCATTAACTGTTACAACACACAGTATATGTAAACATGTTTTTTTATTTATAATTCCAAGATAAAAACAATCTCTAAATACGGTAAATGCATCCGTAGTAAAACCAAATCACTACATTCTATTTATTTGAGATGAGCCATTCTTCCATTAGGAATAATCAATTTAACAAACAATTTTTTTTACAGCACAGAGATCTATGAAAGTGATTCTGACCTTATATACAGAACATAAGTTATTAACTGTTACAACAACACAGAGTATATACAAAATGTTTATTTTTTATTTATAATTCCAACATAAAAACAATCTCTAAATAAATGCCTCTGTAGTTAAACCAAATCACTACATTCTATTTGTTTATGTGAGACGAGCCATGCTTCCAGTATGCATCTCAACGAATCAATTCAACAAACGTATTTTTTCCAGCCATGAGATGTGAGTTTTGGAGGACTGGTCCGCTTCCTCAGGACTAAAGTAAGTGTTGTTTTTACATTACAGGTTTAACATTTTCAGACAAGCCAGGAGTCACTGCTCTGTTTCTTTCACATTTGTGTGTACATTTTTGTTTGAGCATCTGAGCTCTGTAAACAATAAGGCATCACACATGAAAAGGAACCAAGAACATGACCCGCTGTGTGCATATACAATTAAAAAATTATTCAAGGTGAATTTCTAAATTCCTTTAAAAAGGAAAGAAAAAGTACACGTCTTAGTCCTGACCGTAATAAGTAGCTACATAGTATACATTCCTTGTAAAAGCTTGAAGCAAATATATATTGTTTTTAGCGTATTATTGTATTTATTTGTAATGGTCAGGACTATTTTTAGATAAATAGAGATTATTGTATAAGGATATTACAACATTTTCCATATTATGTAATATGGAGAATTGAATGGATTATCATTTGGCTCCTTCTCTTCTCCTTCCCTGTTAAGTACAGAGCTCTATAGCTAAAGCAAAATTTGAAAACACAAATAATTTATAAAAATATAGTAAACATATACTGTGTATTATATATATCAAGTTTAAAAATAAAATGGCTGCAATTTGCCCAAGAAACCCTTACGGTTTCCCAAAAGATAGCTGCAAATTAAATTAATACTGTGTTTAGGGCTATAAATGACTGGGTGGATTATAAAATCAGCTGAAATTGTTATATGTGAGATGTGTACACTGTAATGTAATTGATTTGCTAAAAGTAGTAATAACAGTGCACCTAATTTCTGAAAAATATCTACACTTAGCTTAGTGAATGGGATAAAGATGTGTTCAGTTCTATTATCCAATTATGTGAAATGAAAAATGTATATTTTCTTTTGTAAAATTTCTCTTGTACATGACTGAGTGTGAAAGTGAAGTCTAAGGAAACACAGCTTCATCTTACATAATAAGATAAGTGAAGATACAGATTGTTAAGTCAACAGTCTCTACTCATTTAGTAAATCAACCTCAACGTGTCTCTGACCGCGACTTGTGTTTATGTCATCAGAACAACCGTGGAAATGGGCCAATTGCATAAATATCCCAAATGCCCCGCTGTGACTCCTGCAATAAGCTGCTGTCTGTGGAATTTCAGATGTAATCACACATGCTGTAGTTAGCTGTGGATAATAGCAACTGGATGCAGCTGATTGCATTAGTCTCACAGGGAAGTTCATAAGACTTATGTGATGAAGCTCTTCTCACATTCAGAGCATCAAAACAGACTTTTCTCCAGTGTGAATCTTCTGGTGGCTGATAAGATATGACCTTTTTGTGAAGCTCTTGTCACATTCTAAGCACCTATATGGTTTCTCTCCAGTGTGAGTCCTCTGGTGAACAGTAAGCATTGACTTTGAGATGAAACATTTGTCACATTCTGAACACCCATATGGTTTCTCTCCTGTGTGGATCCTCTGGTGTTCAGTAAGAGTAACCTTCTGTGAAAAGCCCTTGTCACATTCTGAGCACTCAAATATCTTCTCTCCTGTGTGGCTTCTCTGGTGTTGAGTAAAATGTGTCTTGTCAAATGGTTTCTGTTCATTATGAATCTTCTGGTGAACTGTAAGAAGTGACTTTGAAATGAAGCTTCTCTCACACTCCGAGCATTCATATAGCTTGTCCCCTCTGGGATTCATTATGTGCTAAATGTCAATGTCAAATTAGCAGTAGTATGTTTTCAGACTGCTTAAATAAAGAAATTTAGGAATTTTAGTGAGTCCCTGAAAAAAAAAGTAAAAATAAATTATTACAGATCGGCAACAGATAAAGATCAGCCTCAATATTTCAGACTTTTATTTTACACAAACATTTTGTCTGCAGGTCAGATGATTAGTTCTTATTAGTTTTTTCTTTCTAAATTCACACCACACAGGAAATAACAATAACTGAATACAGGTTTGTCTTTTCTGAGTGGATAAAAACACAAAAAAGGCGAGCGCACAGCTGGTATGGACTATGACGGGTGGATGGATATATTTAAAACAAAATTTAATGTTAAAACAAGATTAAAATTATACAACTATAAAACAATTACGGAACAATGGTATGCCAATGCGAGGCTTAAAATATTATAGGGTGAGCAAGCTTCTTATTCAGGGGGAGGAGCCCTGTAGACATGTGAAAGAAAGGTGGAAAGAAGCGCTGCAACCCTGGGGTTTGCTGGAACGGTATAGGTACAACCTTTAAAAGAAATAGAAAAATGAAAACTCACTGTTTTGGAAGAGGGGATAAAATCTTACAGTTGATTAGAACGCTCAGGAGTAAATCTGACCAGTCCTTGTGGGTATAGAGCACGGGTTTCAGACGGACGAGCTGGAGTCTTCACGTAGAGCTCTGAAAGCAGTGTGTCGGCTTAGAGTGCTGGGCAGCATCTGTGGCTGGTTGGTGTGGGTGTGGAGAATGGACTACATGATTCTGGGTCAATCTATGGTTGTTCGTCTGTGGTTGATGTGGCTGGAGGGTCAGATAGGCAAGGTGAACTAGTGGGTTTCACTGTTCACATACACCATACTGCGTTCACACGAGCCCCCCTTATCCCGTCCCCTTATTATCCATACATCCCATAGCCACGAACAGAATAACCAGATTGACTTGGGATGAAGTAAACTTGGTCTACAATTACAATACCACCACACCCAAAATACCAATATCACCTCATTAACCATAATCAAGCAAAATTCATCATGGAGTGCACCGAGTTCACATTACAACATCATTATTTCTGCTTTCTAGAAAAATTTTATTTACAAATCAACGGGACAGCCATGGGTGCAAATTATGCACCCAGCTACGCAAATCTTACCATGGGGTACTGGGAGGACCACCATATATGGGAAAACAATCCATATGCCAAACACCTAGTTTTCTTCGGGCGGTACATAGATGACATAGTCATCATCTGGGAAGGCGCACCAGAAAAAGTAGTTGAATTCGTACAACATTGCAACAATAACCAATTAGGCCTTTCCTTCACTCACGTCACCAGCACCACCGAACTCGTTTTTCTAGATCTCGAATTGACTACAAAAAATAACCAAATCATCACCAAAAATCACATAAAACCCACAGGAGGCAACTCCTACCTCCACTACCACAGCTGTCACCACCCCCGCTGGAAGAATAATATTCCCAAAAGTCAGTTTTGCCGACTCAGCAGAAATTGCACCGACAAAGCTTTTTTTACCAGTTTTAGGTGGTGGCCTCTAGTCTTTTTTTACGGAATTAATCTTAAAGAGTATAAGAAGCCAGGTGTCATTAGTCCTGAGTCCTTCTACAGACTTTCCCTAGATATTGGTTAAATACTTTCACAGAATATTTGGATAGTTGAGTCTTCCTTGAAAAGCGTAAATATATTTCACTCAGTAATGGGAAAAACCTCAAATTTAATCTTTGTGTCCATTAACTATGTTACATCTTTTTTTTATGGAGCATTACAATTTCTGCTTATAGTAATGTGGTAAAACACTTCTATATATGATCCAATATATTCAAATCGGAGGCTTTGACTCGTCTAAATCTGAAGTACCAAAGGGACCAGATGCCCACTCAATGTACCCATGGCAATGTATTGAGAAGAAAACTACAAGCTTTCAATGGGACAGCACAGCAGAAGAAGTTCCATTTCCAACACTCGGGGGTTCGTTTACTAAAGGCAAATCGGCTGTTGATGTTTTGAGAGTGTTTTCACTTTGCAAGGTAATTTTCCCCTCAGCTTAGTGAATGAGATGAAGTTCTGCTGATCCTTCAATACAGCGCAAGCAAAAATATTATTTGTCACTTTTATTTGTAATTTACAGGGTTATTCACAAAAGGGGGAAGAGTTTGGAGAAGGCAGGAGAAGTGAACAATCTAGGACAACATAGCGGATTAGGAAAAATTCTCCAATTCAGCTCACTTTTGAGTTCAGCTATGTTGTCCTAGATTGTTCACTTCTCCAAACTCTTCACCCTTTTGTGACTAACCCTGTTACTGTTTGACCAGCTGAGCTCTGAAAAGATTAATGCAGCACATATAATAAAGAAACATAACTTTCACCTGCTGGCTGCACAGAAGTGTTTCCAATTAATTACGATTAACACATAAAAAAATACACATTTTCTTTTAGACTGTAAGCACTCACAGGCAGGCCCCTCATAACCATTTGTAGCTGTAATGTCTTCCTCATATCGTAAAGTGCTGCGCAAACTGTGGGCGCTATATAAATCCTGAATAATAATAATGCAAAGACACGCTGGTAGGGTAATTGTCTCCTCTCTAAATTGGCCCGGTATGTATGCATGTGAGATAGGGACCTTAGATTGTAAGCTCCTTGAGGGCAGGGACTGATGTGAATGGGCAACTATGTATAGTGCTGCGGCAATTGTGGGCACTACATAAATACTAATAATAAAAATAATACATTTTCATTTTCACTATAATAAGTAACTGCACATTACACATTCCTTTAAAAAGCATAAAGAGAATGTATATTGGCCTTCCATATATATTTATGTATCAGGCAAATGATCACACAATTGGTAATGTGCAATTTAGTATTTACTGAGTAAAAGGAAATTAAACATGAAGTGTACAGGGGAGAACAGACCTAACAATGTAAAAGCATTTCTACATTTCAATCCAGGTAGAAGGATAAATAAACATAGTATGTAAAGTTGAATAAAGACCAGTATGTCTTGGCAGGAAGTTAAGGGAAGCAGAGAGACTTTGAAGGAGCTGTAAAGAAACATGATGATTTTAAGGATTTGGGCAAAAATCCATCCTACTTTCCACGTTCAGAGAATCTAAACAACTTGTGTATAATGGTGGCTCCTCTGGTGAATGTTAAGAATTTCCTTTCGTGCAAAGCCTTTGTCGCATATTTCTTTGATCTGGATTCATTATCAAAAAAGTTTCAGAATCTAATACTACTTTAAGAACTTTCCACATTCAGAGCATGCAAACAACTTGTATTTAATGGTGGATCTTTTGGTGACCAGTAAGATTTCCCCTATAAGCAAAGCCCTTGTCACAAACTGGGCATTTAAATGGTTTCTCTCCAGTGTGAGTCCTCAAGTGACCAGTAAGCTGCTTATTCAACCTGAAACATCTGCCACATTCTGAACACCTGTATGGTTTCTCTCCTGTGTGGATCCTCTGGTGTGCCTCAAATAGGCTCTTTTGTGTAAAGCACTTGTCACATTCTAAACATCTAATTAGATACTCTCCTGTGTGGAACCTCTGATGTTCAACAAGATGTCCCTTAGTTGTGTAGCTCTTGAAACATTCTGAGCATTTAAATGGTCTCTCTCCAGTGTGAGTCATCTGGTGTTGAAAAAAGCTTGCCTTCGATGTAAAACCCATTTCACATTCAGAACACTTAAATGGCTTCTCTCCAGTGTGACTCATCTGGTGTTGAATAAAGTTTGCCTTTGATGTAAAACCCTTTTCACATTCAGAACACTTAAATGGCTTCTCTCCAGTGTGAGTCATCTGATGTTGAATAAAGCTTGCCTTATATGAAAAACTCTTGTCACACTCAGAGCATTTATATGGCTTCTCTCCAGTGTGAATCCTCTGATGTTCAATGAGATGTGATTTTTGTGTGAAGCCCTTGTCACATTCTGAACATCTATATGGTTTCTCTCCGGTGTGAATCATCTGGTGTTGAATAAAGCTTGCCTTATATGAAAAGCTCTTGTCACATTCTGAACATCTATATGGTTTCTCTCCGGTGTGAATCCTCTGGTGTTTAATAAGCTGTGACTTGGCTGTGAAGCACTTGTCACATTCGGAGCATCTTAATAAATTCTCTCCAGTGTGAATCCTCTGATGTTGAGTAAGATGACACTTACGTGAGAAACACTTGTCACATTCTGAGCATTTAAATGGCTTCTCTCCAGTGTGAATCATCTGGTGTCTGATAAGAATTATTTTTTTTGAGAAGCACTTCTTACATTCAGAGCACTCAAATGTCTTCTCTCCTGTGTGGTTCCTCTGATGTCGAGTAAGATGATACTTACGTGAGAAACACTTGTCACATTCTGAGCATTTAAATGTCTTCTCTCCTGCGTGGTTCCTCTGATGTTGAGTGACATGTGTCTCGTGTTTTAAGCCCTTGTCAGATGGTTTCTCTTCATTATGAATCTTCTGCTGAACTGTAAGAAGTGACTTTGAAATGAAGCTTCTCTCACACTGCGAGCACTCATATAGCTTGTCTCCTCTGGGATTCATCATGTGCTAAAGAATGTCAAATTGGCAGTAGTATGTTTTCCGAATGTTTAAATGAAGAAATTTAGGAATTTCAGTGAGTCCCTGGAAGAAAAAAAGGAAAAATAAAAATAAATGATTACAGATCGGAAACAGATGCCTCAAAATTTCAGACTTTTATTTTACACAAAAATGTTGTCTTTAGACAGTTTGCAGGTCAGCTGATTAGTTCTTATTGGGGTTTTTTTCTAAATTCACACCGCACAGGAAATAACAATAACTGAATACAGGTTTGTCTTTGCCGAGTGGAGAATGTGTTATCCCAACTCAATGAAGTATCTTTTACTCCAAGTCCCCAAACAGGAAGTGTGGCATAATACAACCATTTAACTTTAGAAATCCAGCGGCAATAGTAAAACCTCAGGGTGGTTGGGGTTGTTTCTGTTCACATGACTTCTCTATGGAAGCCTTAATTACAGAGAAGTTACATATAGGTAATAACATCCATGGAATAGGATTTACAAAGCATTAGGGGTTTTCTAAAGATAGTTCAGAGTAGAAGTTATTCCATTTACAACACTCTCTGTCTCCGATTGAACAGTCAGATGGAGCCATATGAAGAGAAGGGAAGGATTCACTGTCCTGGTTCCCTTGTGGTGTGTGTAAATGTAAGCTTGTGTTGCTGAACTCTAAACAATGGCCTTTTTTTTGTAGCAAAGGAGCCAAGTAGAGCCTTGGGAACTCATTAGGAGGGGCCAGGTGTTAGCTGTATATGACATTGCAATTTTTTTTCTATTTCATGCTTCCTACCATCGATTACAACATTGCTCCTCTTTCATGCAGTGATACAATGGTCCCCTGGTGGCACTACGGTGTACGGTGAGGTACACGCTATTTGGCATACACCAAATTATAAGACAACAGTGGTGCTCCTAACTCTGCATGAGGGTGAAGATTTCACATGCTGTCTGCCATAGAGGTTAGTATTCAGCTTCTTCTTTTACAGGGTCTTCTCTCTACAACAGGAGTTTTAATCCTTCCCCTCTCTATTTTTACTAAAAAAAAGTTAAGCTTTAGGTACACTTTCATTTTAACTTTTTTTCTATGGACCTCAGAGTCGTGTGACAAGAAGCTACAATCCCTTTCAGAAGTACAATAAGAAACTTGAGTATTAATGGACTGACATTAGATTAATATCAACCTGAGTAAACATTCTGAGACAGCCCATGTTTCCAAGTTATTGATTTCTAACAGCATTATCTGTTGCCTGGATTTCATTTGAATACACAAGACGTACTCTGCCTGCAGCCAGCATATCTCTCAGTATAATGTTCAAAACATAAAACATCTACATTGTAAAATCCACAATCACACAGAGTGCATGTACTGGGGGCTGGTGCAGCTGTTCCATTAGCCGTTTCCAGAATACAGACAGATTAATAAATCCTGCATCTAACTGGCTGTAATGAAGCAGCAGCATTTTCTACGTCACATTTTGCTCTCTCTAGTTAGAGATTGAGAAGAGACAAAAAGAAAGTTGTGTGAAAAAGTTGTGATATATAACCTTTGATCTAACTGAAACAATATTTGTTTAATAAAATGACCCCCTGCCAGGTTTTACTGCTCTTCGGTCAAATGATTTTCCCTTACTTTTATTTCTGGTGACAATAGTTTCAGAGACAGGAAGTGAGGGGAAATCAGAAACAGAAACAGACACTAATACAAAGCTCAAAGGGATTCTAGCATTTCCCCGTCTTAAAAAAAATACTTCTGTCTCTGTTGCAATTAGAGAGTTCCTTCACTTCCCTACTGGTAAAAAGGTGTCACCAGGGGAAGGCCGAGTGAATGTAAATCTATTTAACAGAGCTCCAGATAGCAGGAAAATGCCATTAGGAGTGCTATGATTCCATGTTATTGCTTTGCCAACTGGCATTATCTGTTTCCTGGAATTGAGTAGAATATCTAAACCATTTAAGAAGATCACCAAGATATACTCCACCTGCATCCAACATATCTCTCAGTTCAAGGTTCAAAGGAAAAAAAAATTAAAATGCAAGTCTACAATCACATAGAGTGCACCTACCTCGTATAATGTAGAATGTTGTCCTATAGAAGCTTCTTGTTCTCTTGACCAGCAGTTCTTGTAACTGACTGAGCCCAGCCTCACCTTATATTCATTTCACCACCATTCACCTACATGTGCTGGATCTCCATTGGCTGAAAAGGTGAGATCTACTTCACAAAAGGCATGTTTGCATTGTAATTAGGCAGTTTCGGCTGCTCTTTGTTTCAGTTCTCCACCCGAATCAGAGCCAGGACAAGTTAATTACCATTATAATAGGTGGAGGAAGGACAATAGGAAGGAACCTTCATTGAAAATGAATAGGAGTTGCCTCTCATTAGCATAGAGAGGCGATAAGTCATTGGCAAAAGGAACTGGAGTGTCTTTTTTTCCAAAGTTTGAAATAAATGAACTTTGCACGATATTCTAATTATTTAAGTTTCACCTGTATAATGAAATTTTTTTGGGCGGGTTTTGGGTAAAGTAGAAAAAGGTTATAATCCCTCTAAATGTGTTTTTTGCTGTGTACCGTTGGCAAAATGTACTGTTACCGTCCTCTCCGGGGAACACAACATGGAAGGAAAGGAATTCTTCCCAAAGTGAGGGAACTCCCCTCTTATTTGTTACAGGAATGAGTGTTCACATTGGAAGATTCCCTCTCACCTCTATTCCTGTTCTACTGATAGATGCCAAATTTTGGCTTTCCGGAGAGCAATAGAATATAATATTGATCAATTGGGTACTTTTTCTTTTTTGTATAAATGGTGTATAGGTATGTATAAATGTAACCAAGTTGTAAAAAAAACTACTTAAAACAAGTTAGCTAAACTTTACATTTAATTTGTTAGTTAGCTCCATCTAAATCTGCGAGTTCATCGAACACTTCCATCTCTACAGGTTGACAATGCTGCTGTCCAAAAGTGGCTCCAATGCGAGGCGCATGCGCGAGGCTGACCGTGATGGCCGCGGTTTAATCAGCTCCGCACCGGACTGGGCGCCTTAAGGATCTTACGGCTGATATTACTGCCTGAATTTACTCATGCATCTCGGAACCAGAGAGAGGGTCGCTCGGGGCACCGATTTCTGCTAAAATGGGTCGCACATACCCGAAGAAGAAGGCCACACTTAGCCAATCGACTTTGCATGAGGCCTTGGGTAGGATGTCGCGCAGATCCGCGTACAGAGCGACTCCGCCGGATGAGGACACGAGGTCCTCGGTAGACACCATGGATCCGGCTGGAGACGCTCCTACTAACCCCTTGCCTGACCAACAGATGGCTATGATGGCACAATTCGAATCCACGCTGCACAAAGCCCTGGACAAGCTGACGAACTGGAGCGCCTTCGCAACCTCAACCTGTCACTACATTCCCAGGTGGAAGACGCTGAGAACCGCGATCGCCGGACGAACCTGCGTATAAGGGGAGTGCCTGAGAGCGTGGTAGATCTACCATCCACGATCACAGCTCTGTTCCAGGAATTGGCCCCCGACTTACCTATCGACAGATTAGAATTCGATAGGATCCATCGGGCCTTGGCTAGGCGTTCTGCGGAAGGGCCCCCACGAGACATTATAGTGCGTTTGCACTTTTACCGCACAAAAGAGCGCCTTCTCCAGGAGGCAAGAGACAGCCGTCCCTCCACTTCCAGGGCTACTCATTCCAGATCTTCTCAGACCTCTCACCTGTAACGATTGCCAAAAGGAGAGAATTCCGTGTGATTACCCAGACTCTGCAATCAAGACGGATTAGGTATCGGTGGGGATTTCCGTTAAAGCTCCAATTCCTCTTCGAGAGTAAGACCTATACTTTTACTACGGTGGATGATGCGAGCCGTTGCCAGGAACAACTTCATCTCCTCAACCTACCGGTAGAGCTACCGGGACCCTCATCTTCAGGATCGGATAACAGACAGGGGACTCCACGCTCATCTCATTCATCCGGAGGACGACTCGCCGAGCCGGCAGTTCCCTTGGCCCCTTCCCAGGAATCGGATATGATGGGATGAGTATATGCTGGGTGTTTTATCCTGCTGAGATTCTAGCTTGTTTGGATTGTTTTATTTTATTTTTACCTTGTTTGCCTCTGTATGGACAGCACGGCTTTAACCACTACCAGTACTGCAAGCGATGTTGGAAATTTGTATATGGGTATGGGGATGTTAAATGGAACACAAGCTGACCTCGTTGACACGGTGTAATGCTCTGGACTACAAATCCCAGAGATGTCAAGCTTATCCCACGGATGAACCCAGCTGTAAAGCTTGGCAAAACTTTCATTTCTATTTGTTGTCTGTTCTTGCAGTAAACTTCAAGGAAACTGACCCAGTAGCATTAAAAGTACTTTACTTGGCGAAAATGCTGTGTTTACAAACTTAGTTACAGGAAAAAGCAAACAAATACATAAACATGACTGGCTGCTAGAAACATTCACATGCACCCACCACACTATCTTGTAGTACATGTATGATATCTAGGAGGGGAAACACTGAAAATGTACCTGGCTCAGGCTGCAGGCTCCACAAATTCCGTGATGAGCAGGACTTCTTGGCCTAGGAAAAATGGCTTCTCGTTGCAGTATCCTTTGTATGTCCTGGTCTTGAAGCAAGTCCCCTCGTCTTGTGAAGGCCCCCTCGTACTGTCCCGCTTCTGTGAAGCCCTGGTCTTGTGAAGTGCTGTGCTATCTTTCAGCTACTGGCTTTTTATTGAGAGAAAACCGGCCTAAAACTTTGGAAGCGACGCCCCTTTCACCTTTAGGAAAATGCAATACATTTCACTTTCCCACCTCTAGGTGGCAGCGTTGTACCATAAATTGCCATCAGTAGTCAAGATTTGATTTGAGTCTTGACCAGGCTAGGCGTGACTGTTTACGATCACCATCCCATTGTGATACAAATCAATACAGGACAAGCTACACCATTGTGTAAAACCAGTTCGGTTGTTTAGTTGGCCCCTTCCATTGTATGAACCAAGTTTCTATCAACAAACAAACATAACCCCCGTCTCTATTG